ACGGAACGATGTCAATTCAAATTTTACAGTGCAAAAATGTAATAAAAATTTCAATAAGTACTTTCCGTGAATTATATATCACTTTGCCTTTTTTGTGTCGTACAGAGAACTACGTTAAATAGTATGGGTTGCAAATACCAAAAAAAAAATAACTAGACTTACTCTACGAACGAAGCGCAAAAGTCTAGGATTCAGTTCCCAAATAGAGTAAAAAGTCCACTCATGTGAAAATTGGCTGGACCTTTGACATTTAATTTTTGTGCCACAGGAAGAACATCCGGTTCGAACTATCGATAGTGGGCTTTTGTGACCCACTGAATATGATAGCACACATACATTAAAAATATTCCTACGAAATACATTCATTCATGTAATATAAAGAATACTAAAATATAAATACCAATTAAAATTCTTTAAGTAAAGTTCATTTTAATTTTCGCATTTACAAAAAATATCACATTCAAGCATTGAACATCACTTATGTTTTTTTTTTGTTGCAACGTGATAGATATTGAAAGAGTATTCAACGAGGGCTTACATGAAATAAAAATCCAATTTCCTGGCCATTTTGCAGATTTCAATTCATCCGCTTCCAGCAACGTGTAAACAAAAGATCTGGAAAAATCTATTGATCATGACCGTGAAAGTGGCGCTCTCAGTTTGAAAAAGCTTTCGGATTTTTGTACGTACTTCATTCAATTAATGTACCGGTCGTTCATCAATATTGAAGGCTCTTAATTGATATAAAGTGCACTAACAACATGGCCGCTACTTTTAAAAATGTTTTCTTTTTTGTTACTTGTGACTTTACTTTAACGAGGCTGTCCTTATATTGTAAAACTATGTTATTGGTATTGCAGATACAAGTATTAATTAAATTTCATGTCTATAAGTTCGCCGATAGCAGGCAATAATGTGTTTTATTCGTATTTTTAAGATAAACGGAAACTAATATATTTATTTTTTCAAACACTTTTTTTTATTTATGTACGCAAAAGGAAATGATGTTTCCATTTTAATAAGACAGAGAGTAGAACACGCAATTTTTTAAAGGAAAAGCATTGAAAGTTGCCATTGGAATTGGTTGAAAGCAACTCATTGGAGTATTAGACAGGAGATAATAATCTACGACAAACTTAAAGTCCGTCGAAATGAACGTTCAAGAAAAAAGCGTGAAGCGCCTTTTAAATGGCACTCACAGTGTTACGGACAAGTCCAGCCCAGTAAAGCCTTCTTCTTTGACTTTCTTTACAACTTCAAGTAGGCTGCTTAGTACTTTATTGGATAGGTATAAGGTACTAAAAGTGTAATCTTATATCTTTCGTCGACTAAATTTGAACGCTTATTCATAGGAGCGTGCGAGTTTCTGCGTGGGTATACTCTTTATATGAATGAAAGATTTCTTTGAAAATCTAGATTAGTCTGGCTTAAAAAACCTGAACCACAGTCAAGTAAATCAAGGTCCATTTCGTGGAACGAATATCGGATTATGTATCAACAAGCTAATCCTTTGTGTAGTGGATACTGATAGTCCCTGTAACAGTCTCAATAATTATATTTTTTTTTCATATCCATTTGGTCGCCTGCCAATGTTCTTTCATTGTTTATATGAGAAAAATGAGGCAACTACCATGTGAGTTTATTTTTAAACTTAGTAAAAAAAATACAAAGTTCTATTCTTGTTTACGGATAATTACAAGATTTCTGTATAAGGCTTCGGTAAAGTTTATAATAACTAGTTTTTTTTAACTTTCCCATACTTACTGAAACTAGTTTACCTCGTGTTACTTTGTGGAAATTTTCTTGTAAATTGTGCTAGAATACTTCCTAAGAATAATATTCAGGTATAAAATTATAATTCGAGATACTCCAGCCTGGTAACAAAACCTAATGTGTGTTTAAAATTAAAACATGCTTAGATGTTTAGAAAGGTATTTCAACCAACGCCTCGAAAAATGTATATGTCGCAGTAAGATAGATGTAGCCGTTATATAGTTATATCCCTAGGGATATAATCATATACCGGGACATAGTTATACGAAAACGATTCATTACTATCTCACTAGGGATATAGTTATAAAACGGACCAAGTTTAGTGATATACTTATATTACTAGATTAAGTTCAGTGTTTTAAATATATTAGGATTTGTCTCAAAAAAGTCATATTGTCATCATATTTTAGTATATTAAAGTTTATCTTCTATGTAATTAATTACTTCACTTATTCTCTGCCGCGTCCACTCTGGTTTTTTGCGTTTCGCATTGTAAAATAGACGAAATTCCTGTTCAAAACGTCGCCTTGCATTAATGTCGGATTATTCCGAACCTGACCCGCAAACCTGACCCGGTGGTGGGTTAGGTTAGGAATTTGAAAAAATAATTGATATTTATTCCGAACGTAACCCTATTCCTAACCTGACCCGACGTATCGTTCCTATAATTACCCGAATTGAAGAAGAAGAACTGCGACCCTCACAAGGCGCGAGGCGAGCGAGCGTAGCGAGCGGTGCCGCGGCAGCGGCCGCCGAGCGCTATATCATTTACTGCTTTTCAAATCTTTTCATACACTGGGGAGAGGAAAACCTACCTACTTCGCAATTCGGGTAATGATAGGAACGATACGTCGGGTCAGGTTAGGAATAGGGTTACGTTCGGAATAAATACCAATTATTTTTTCAAATTCCCAACCTAACCCACCACCGGGTCAGGTTTGCGGGTCAGGTTCGGAATAATCGTTAATTTCTTCATCCTTATCCATAGCTGGCACAAGTAATTAGCAATTATAAAACGAATATAACTATAACAAATGCTAAGGAAGCGTAGCGATAATTAAATGCACATGTACGAAAACAAGACGTGAACGCCGAACAACTATTCTCGGCCGACTGACTGCGGGCTGAGGAGCGCGTAAATACAACAAACTCCTCTCCCGCCGCGGGGGAGGCGGCGCGTCGCCGGCGCCGTACACTCCGAAAGCTATTTCACTAAACTTAATCTAGTAATATAAGTATATCACTAAACTTGGTCCGTTTTATAACTATATCCCTAGTGAGATAGTAATGAATCGTTTTCGTATAACTATGTCCCGGTATATGATTATATCCCTAGGGATATAACTATATTACGGCTATATCTATCTTACTGCGACATATACATTAATACGTGTGAAGAAAAGTTTGTATGCATTTTGGACATGTGCTGCGAAGAAAGTGCAAAAAGTCAAATAAAAATTCTTTGGCTCTCTCGTATTATTAAGCATATTTATATAGTACTAGCTTCTGGTAGCAGCCCGTGGGATAAAAAGTAACTAATGTGGTATTACGCACCATAATCTAACTCAGTTCCAAATATCATTTCGATCTCTTCAGCCGATTTGAGGTGATTGAGTGACAAACATACGTGGAAACATAAAGTTTACACATGAACAAATAAACTTTCTAACATTGGTAAGATAAGATTCGATAAGTGTATTTATTACCTATTACATAAAAACTAAAATCTAACTGAGATTAATTATCTAAGTAGCAGCCGTATCAATGGGATTATAGGCATTAGTGGAGGGATTAGTGAAGCACATAATTGTACATAATTTATAATTGATGTTATAAGTTAAACTCGAATACCACAACAATACTGGGTATAAAACAGTTACGGCCTGACCTTGTCTGCGTTCTGCGGTACAAACCCGCATACCGGAGGCAGTGGTTTACATCGGCAGTTTCAAACAAGGGCAGTTGAACAATCCTCCTTGGAGGAATCTTTAGTTTCCACTATATACACATAATAAATTCAAAAGCAAATTGGTTACCAATTTTATAAGATAACGAGACTTACAATTATTACTTGTGCAATGAAAGTAGTATGGGGCAAAGTCAGCCATATCTTGATGCTATAGAATAATTGCTACGGACGCCACATGAATAGATTTTAGATTCTGTCAGTACCCCTTACCCCTTTCTAAAGATCACTTCAGCGCAAAATACATTATCTTAGTTTTTATCACTTTTAATCCGCCGCCTCTAAGTCTTAAGCTTTTAACGTTATATTTTAACTTCCCTGACCTTTGCAAACAATAGTAGATTTCTACGGAAAAATCTAAAAATACGTCGTCAAGATATCAGTCCTAAAATCAAAATAAGAAAAGATTCAAATCCAACCCCTTTTTGAATGAACACAGGAAAAAGAAAAGGTTGTCTCCAAATAAATAACTTCTAAAATAGTTAAGTACGTAACCATAGCAACGTTATTATACGAAAAAAGAAATGTTTTTCCAAAGTTACAATAAACACTCGAAGCCTTAGAACGTTTCTTATGAAATATTTATTTAGAGTGATATTGATACCTGGCGAATTACCAGTACCTACAAATGTTTTATAAGGTTTTCCAATATAAATAATATTTACTTCCAGTTTCATCTTTATATCTTCCGCCTATTAAATAACATCGGAACATTGCCTACATTTGGTTTCGAATTAGGAGATATGGAAATAAGATTATATTACAATTTTATGATAAATCGTTTGTCGTAATACAATTGCGTACTTATTTTTATAGAAACATTTATATTATTAGATAAATATCATTGTAACAGATTCAATGTCGTGTAAGCTTTAATCACGAAGACAATGCCTGAGCATCCAAGGTGTTATGCAACTTATATAAAAGTCACTGATCCATCTCGATAAAGCGTGGTAAACAACGGCCTCTAGACTTCTGCAAAGCAAAAGTCTAGATGCTAGATGGAATTATTAATTGAAGGCCCTAATGTGCTAGGACTAGAGCTCACTTTTGTTTGACTGGTTTAATGAACTTTAAATCGTTTAATCCCATTTCTGACGACATCTCGATCGGATATACACAGTAATAGACACTCTTAATCTTGATGACCATAAAATGTGAGAACAACCTCCATTATGGATATCAAACGAAAGATAGAATAGAGGTCATTTAAACCGATTAACATACAAACATTGTATATATAATATTTGTTTGTCCTCAGCTCATCGAGGCGCTCCACTACATGCACTACAACACCCACATGATGCATCGCAACGTGTGCCCGCAGGTGATCATCGTGACGAAGAGAGGCACTTGGAAACTCTTCGGCCTCGAGTTTGCTGGTATGTATTCTCTAGTCAATTTTATAATTATTTATCGTACATACTGTAGCAATGTCGCATTTTAATAACATACGAATGTCTAGTTGTATAATTTGTCGATCCAGCTGCTAGACCAATGCTTTATGTCACAGAATCACCAAAGGGTGACTGCCAGTCAATAACTTTGTGTAATTCGAAAATAGTTCACCCAAAAAAGTCTAAAAATCACTGCAGTCGTTTTAAAGACCAAACTACACGGGAATCAATATAAATGCTCATATTATATTATATCTAGGACTATAAAGCTTTACCAATACGACTGCAATACAAATTCTATTTGAAATAGCTCAATTGAATGAGGACTGTATAGTTGGCCACTTACTGACGATCATAGTAAACGCTGCCATTACGTTAAGCACTTTTGACGTCGCCTCGAGGTACACATCTCAATCAAAGTAGTTTCTCAAACGCTTGACTAACTACAAAACTGTCAAATGGTCTTGAAATGGATCAAAATATATATATTTTGTATTCCCTGGAGAGGTGACTTGACTATTCTGTCAGCTACATTATTATTTTTGTTTTCATTATCCATTACAAAGAATTTTAATAGCACGTGTAGATTGTAGGTACCTGGGAAACATATGAAACGTGATATGAAACTACCAAGAGGTTCCTCAGTGTCGTAGTTCGTAAAAATTACATAATTATCTATTGATTGTTAATATGAATCCCTTATTCGTGTTTAATATTATATTTGGTTACTAGGTAGATTTCTTGAGGCTGAAATTTATAGGCAATTCTAGAAAAGGGTTTTAGTAAAATCTAGGTAGAGTCTAAAAAGATGGTACGGTTTATTCAAAATACATTTTTTATATATGAAAATAATGATAGACATTCAGAGATATATATTCAATGAACTGAATAAACGATAATAAAATGAGAAAGACCTGACAACTACTTTTATCTTATATTTTTACGAATTTGATTTTTCATTGTAAATAGTTTGTTATTAACATAAATAGAACAACACACAACAGATTCATTCCTAATTTGTTTATCCCTTTACGTACAAACCAACAGTCTAACAAAGACTATAAATGTATTTTTGCAAACTTCAATCGTCAAACAGTTCCTTTTTATCGTATAATTTGAAATTAATGTAACTTCAGAGTTCGGTCTGAATATAAATTTGAAATCTTTCAAAGAAACGATGGAATAATGAAAGTCCCCGCTACAAATACTTGAATTCGTAAGATAAATCTTTGTAATCACGAGAACCTTGACTTTTCTATATGACGTTGTATATTTCCATAAATCTGAGTACCGCTTTTGCTGTCGAATGGTAAAATAAAAGCACTTTGTGTTGCGTTCGTACTACAGCAGCAAAATTGAACTATGACAATGCGAGACTATGTGAAAGAGCGAACAAACTACTATAGACCGTTAATAGACTAAAAGAACCGTTTTCACCATCCATCTCTTTACTAAAAGATACTTAGCGTGACGTAGTACCTAAACTATTACCATACTTTTAATCTTAGGTGACACTTATAGATTATTAAAGCTTAGGTGATTTATTTGAATTCAGGTTAGTTTGGTAGAAACGGGCCTGAACACTCCTATGTAGCTTTGAAAGATTTTTTTGGAAATAAATCTGAGTGAGATTAATTGAGCGTCAATTCTTTTTCTACATTTTTCTGTAGTTCACCTGGCAACTAGCTGTCCTCAAAGACTGTCAAAAATGTGTGCACAGTTATGAGTTGAGAGAATGCAAACTGTAGAAAGAGACGAGAATCGACAACGTTGTTGGATTTCCTAAAATATTGTATCAAGCTCAAAAGCCCTCCGTTTCCACTTACTTTTGATTCCAGATCCAACACAAACAATATTCACGAACGACAATTTCTTTACTCATGGCTTTGTGTATGAGAGGTAACGTACATAGCTAAATATACTTTTAACAGAACATATTTGTGCTTACGCTTTACATTTAGACTTAGGTTTAATGGAGGTCATAATAACATCTGTTTTATTAGTCATTTATTTTGGACACACTGTTTATGAAGTCGCCAATAACTTTATGGTATTTACTTAAATACCATGGTTTTTCTCCCCAAAGATTTTCACACGAAACGTCTATTTCGTACCCAAATATTCATAGTCTAATATCCAGAGATTCATATCTTAGTAGCAGTTTATTTTTACGTAGTATAAGGTAAAGAATGAAAGCAGTTATTTTTTTCTCAACCGTGAACTGTATAAAATATTAAGTAGAATCTCAATGATTAAAAACATAATCCTCCTTTTTTGTTTACATCGTTTGATCGTTGCTTTAAATATTAAACAAGTTTAGCTAAAATCAGGGCTTGAATTCGTAGGAAACTTTAAAAAATTCCCGATGTTACAGAAAAAGAAAAACAAAACTGTAACACATTGAAATGGTGCGTTGTCGCGAAAACTCAAGGTTTTTTGGACAATATTCATTATTCTTGTTTATTAAGTTAATGTAAACTGCTATGCGCAACATTAGGAAACACATTGTCACACGACTCTAGGGAAATCAAACATTATACAATAGCGTCACAAATAGAAAAATATGGCGGGTTAATAATACAACTTATAGAATAATTGAAAGTAGCTTACTAGGAGAAGCAAGAAGTTTAACAACTATCTCCGTTTTGCTGTTTATTTGTTTTTCATTAAGGATATTACTAAACGAAATTTACACTTTATGAAATGATTTAATCAATACCTCATTAGTTCTATACTTCTGTGGTCACGTTTGACCATGTACTTGATATGACATCAAATTTGTTAGTTTCAAGAAATGAGCACTCAATATATTCAGATATAAACGCTCATCTTTTGTAAAAAAAAATAGTTTCCAAGTTGAAAGTGCTCCATCATAATTTATAGTTTGAATTTATTTGCCGTCATTTATTTTGACCTACTGCCCCTGACGTTAAATAAGCTCTTTGTTTATACATTCCAATTTAGAAGGGTTTCATTACTGTTAATTTGAAGCTCTTAACATAAAAGTTCAAATTACAGTGCTTCAGAACCTGAGAGGCCTTACCTGGGCCGACCAGGGAAAGCGTTCTTAAAATATTTTGTAATATGTTCCCATACCAACGCTGGGGGTGTGGGACTGACGGGCGGTTAGTGATATTATGTTATACGGTCGACCGACAGCACAATACACTTTAACATAGCTGTCTAAGCCTGTAGGAAGTTACACTAGAAAAATAGTAGCTTTACTTCTATTAAAATCTAGGCAAAATCCCTATTCAAGTAACGTGAGTCGTACAAAAGGTTTAGGAATAAAAAATTGTGTATCTTTCTATTTATACTTCTGTCACTTACAAATATTAATAAAGTTATAAAATGCGTAAACGATAAATAATCGAACAAACTTAAAGACTAATAATCAAAAAGTATTGTTTACAACTACACCAAGTACGTAATCCTAGTGTTTTCTTTAAAATGAAACGTTTAACCTAACTAATTTATTCTCTTATTCTTGAACGCGTTCATCGGTATGAATCTCGCTTATAGTTTTTGACGAAATGTCTGTTCATTGGGCCTGTCATTAAAACCAACTTTTAAACCAACATAGGTAGGTAACATTGGTTGATTATGGGAAGTAGCTTCATACCACCATATTGTGACTTAATAAAAGGCAATGAGAAATACAGTTCTGCAAAGAGTATTGCATCGGAAGGTACAAAAACGTGTAAGGCAATGTAATAAGTATGGTTTTCATTGTACCAATCTATCGTTAACGTAAGATAAATAAATATCTTGCTACGTGAGTTTGTTGTAACGTACGAACAAGTTTGGTTTGAGACTTATTCGAAGTACCCTTTGTTTGATGTTATAGCTTCGTGTTTTACAAACTTCAAAGAGGTTTCTTACCTTTGTACTTGCGTGTAGGTATGTCCCCTGACAACAGTCGATATAACAATATACATACAGAATGCCAATATCCTGCCTAAATGTACATAAGTCTTTGAGTCATTTGCGATCAGTTGAGGGAGACGTGATAACCGATTTGTGGAATTACATTTAAAAGGTATTCTTAATTTTTTTTAAATATTCTTAAAAGGCTGAGTTCTGTATTAAAATCTACGGCCAAAATATTTACTTAAATGCTAATTGTTTTATCGGACAGTAGCAATATTTCCTAATCACCTGGCCGTATCTTTATACCACTGACTACCATAGAAACATGTTAAAGACAAGCGAAGAAATGTATGATGGTAAATTCGACGTATATTTAATATACAGTTGCACATTTCCGACTGTATTTGCAAGCGTGTTTTAAAATTCAAATTACTTTTGACATTACAAAACTGGGATGCTCATTAAAATAATTGTAGGTACCTACCCATTACGTGTGTAGCAGTATGCATAGGTACGTATTCCTTCCAAGAACATTTTATATAATAGTTTCACGTCAGAGATAAAGCTAGAAAATGGCTCTCACCAAGAAATAAAGTCGGTTTCAAGGCCGCAGAGATACCTTACTGTATTAAAGTTATCAATTTTAAAAGCGAAAGTAGGAGCCTGACGTCACTACTAACAGATTATCCCTTTTCTCGTGCCTGTGAACTTGAACACGGCTTAAATACCAATAGATGAAGCCTTACGAACACATTCAATCTTCTATCTTATATCAATACCTTGAGAGCGAAAAATAAAAGTTACCTCTAAAGCCTTACACTTACTTACGAGTTTAATGTACTAATCAAGGTATTAACTTAGATGGAGGTCAGTGTGACATAACACATTAGCTCTAAGTATTTATTTTATTTCAATGGACTTTTTCTTTCGCAGAAAACTGCCTCTCGTCGGACCCCACCGATATGATTTGCGTGCCTCCGTGGTCCATCAAGGTGGCAAAATTATCTCAGCCAAATCTGGACTATTTAGGTAAGGCTTTTTTGATCTATTTTTGGTCGGCCGTCCTGTGGTCTGGTGGTATCATCATTCGAGGTAAGGTGTATTAACGAATCCTTTTTTAAATATACAATATGATTTTAGAACCGCGTTATATATTATATAGACTTATGGAAAATATCGGTTTTACTTTTTTGTACCTAATATAATGTACTTTAGTTATGGTATCAAATATCAGACCTTAATTAAAACATAAAAAGACTTGTTTTTGAAGATTTTTTTCAAAGGTTAAGTAAAAAGTCTTACGATTTGATTGACAGACGGCTGTTCAACTGTAGTGATAGGTATTTTATTTGGTTGTGACGATTTAATGGTCGTCAGATTAAAGATGAAATGTTTTTGATAGTGACTGAGAAGATGATATACGGGCAGTATAATTCTAGACTCTTCACTCTATTACTTATTTGACAAAAAAAATGAAAAACGTCACATATTACTTTGCCTGAAATCTAATGCTCAACAATCGTGCTTGTATTATGAAACAAAGTAATAATCTCGCATTGCCTGTAATAACTTCAAACAAAAATCAATACATTTAAGTTTCAATTTAATAAATTAAGTGACTGACATTGTGACTTAGTTGTGAATACTACAGACCACTGGAAAGCAACAATTAATAAATAGGTGGTTGTTAGGTACAATAAAGCCTAATTTTCCTTGTACCTACATCCAGTACTACTCTCCATCATTTGAACATGATAATAATTAGAATTTTTAATGAAATACACAATATTTGCAAGTGTAGGTACATCAGGTAGGTGCTCTTTGTGACAGAAACCTTTGAAGTTTTGGCAAACTTTGATTCATTAAGTAGGTAATTAATGTAGGAGCTATGTACTTATATTTAAATAATAACGCTCTGTTTGGAGTTTTATTAAATTCATTGTAATGTGTTTTGTACAATGTTTATTAAATTCTCGATTTCAACTTGCTCAAATAAAAGTGAAAAGAGCAGAGTTCAAATGGTTTTTTCTTCAAGTGTGTGGCTTCAGTCTAGTAGCCAAGATGGTCTTAAATGCAACTACCAAGCCACGGGTTTCGAGTACAATTCTATTACAACTATACCTAACTAAGATTTTTGATAGTTTTCATTAATTCTCAACACTGTTTGAGAAATGTACCCTAATTGGGCGAAGCACTATTTTATGCAATGAGACTAAAAATATAACTGCACGTACACACTATATGTATTTTTGTTCATTCTTTTCGGGATATTAGCATAATGCTATGTTATGTAAACTGGATCTAAACTCAGTGTGTTGTTATAAGCTTACCTCAAGTATATGGAACATTCACTCTTAGATCATCTCGTTAGCTCCCGACACAAGGTACAGGCAACGCACTACGCGTTGCGTAGAAGAAGACCAAGAAGCATATTTTACAGTAGGGAAAATATTAAAATCAAAATGTCGACTTTAATATCAAGTCTCAACAAAATAGAAACATTTTTAATGTAGTTAAAGAAAGAAAGCAAAACTGTTTATTGCACTCGCTTTGGTACAAAACAAACATTATGAAAAAGGATTCGTTTTATGTGTCTAACAAAACCCTTTTATGTTACAGGACTATGGATTCTTTAATCATGTCTTGTTTCAGGGATATTCTATGGTTTTCTAGAACTATTGGCAAGGTTTGCCGAAGTTCTAGAATATTGTTCTTATTAAGCTACGCTAATCTGTTCTGCTTACATGTTTAGCCCCTGAGGTGCAGACCAGCGGCCAATGCAGCATTCTATCTGACATGTTCTCACTGGGCTTGGTTATCTGCGCAGTCTTCAACAATGGGAAACCATTGATCCAAGCCAATAACAATCCTATGTTGTACATGAAACAGATCGAATTCGTAAGTATATTTTTAATTTTTATTTTAGCCGTTATTCGTCGCATTGGGGTGGTATAAATGGTGTTGATACTCGGTTCCTATATTTTAAAATCGCGTTACAACTTTAATAGTATTAAATTAGTAACTTGACAGTTCTTACAGAAGTACTCTCACGACTACTTTCAGTCATTTGGTATTTTTGAACGTCATATTTGTAAAGACAAACAAATTCACTAAACAATAGACTTTCAAAGATTTCAAAAATGTTTGGAGTAAAGTTAGATGTGATTTATAAATTGGATTATTCCCTGATAATTTTCAAGTCTCACGGAGATGCCTACAAGCAGTCATTGCCAAAAACCATATCCCTCTTTCTTTTTGAAGCAGTTAAATAAGTAGACGGATCCTATTTCGATAGGACTAATAACACAAAAAGAGAAATAAAAATGTGCATCCCCGCGTATCCTTGCACAGTTTGCTTTATCCATTCAAAAATAAGATAAACAATGATAAAAGAACCCACGACGTATACAAAACAGGGTGGATCTTTAATCGCTTTTTTTTCCATCAGTAATGATGAATGAAATCTTAAATTAATCTCTTTGAATTTTTCAAAAGCCGCCAAACTAAATTTATTTTCATCGTATCACAATGCATTTTCAATTTGCCCGATATTTTTAGAAGTACCAATGACGTCACATGTCATGATATTCTGATAAAAAACAAATTGAATTTTATCTTCCAAAGCAAAATTATGTGGAATTTACTCTTCACAAAAGATTCTGCGTATTGTCTAGGTACAATAAACAGCAATATACAGGATAATAATATATGATCATACGTTGATATATATAAGTATCAATTTATAAGAACTGTGAAGTACCCAACTATTATTTCCTAGTAACAGTATATTGTCACAAGACATTTTTTATTATATTCACTATATACCTCTACAATTCTATAAATTCTCGTTTGTTCAATTCTCTCTTGGAATCAACACATGTCTATATGAGAAATCATAATAATATATTATTGGCTTCTTGGTCGAACTCCTCTGTCAAACTAGGGGTTCGTAGTGTGATTCTTAAGTTATTCTTATGTTCTCAATAAATACTTAAAGCTGGATATTGCTTAGAGCATAGAACTTTTGACTGTAGATAACTAACTGACTTTAAGATTCTATAATATGCACTTCAGGAACTAAAATACTTATGTAACAATACAACAATGTTGGCAATCAAATTTCTAATAAAACTTTCTAGGACATTAAAATATAAACTGAAAGATTATATAAGAGACACTTTACAAATAAAAAGCAAACAATATCAAAAATAATGACCATTCTGCACACAAATTGAATAAACTAAGAACTCTTATAAAAATAAAACATAGTATGTACTGACTTTAGGGCAGCTCGACACTTCTCCGCTATTTAACTTGGGCAAATAATTCAATCCAGTTAATCTGTTTGCTAGATTTCCGGACAAACAGATCATCCCTGGAACCAACCACGACACTTTAAATCTTTCATTGTTATACAGATCTAAGCACAACATCAATCTAGTTTTTTCAAGAAATGTAATAAACTCGAAATATTTACAAAAAAGTATTTCGAGAAAAATATAGTACGTTCTAACGTTTTTTGTGGACAAAATAATCTATTTCTTCGTACTCCTCGCTATAGGCAAAGTCATTTTATTTAGAAAAAATATTCAACCATAAATGTACATCAAATTGCCATTTCAAAGATCAGAGTCCAAAAGTTCAGACGTATTTGCTCCCAGACCCTATGTAAGTGTATAAGGCTAAATTACGCTTGTCGTCTCGTGCTCATTCTTACGGCTAGTCAGAAGTACTACACTGACAACATGTTTAACCAAAAATTAGTAAAAATATCATTCAGAGTGGATTTTACTCCTGTTTAAAAGGCCGGCAACGCACCTGTGACTCCTCTGGTGTTGCGGGTGTCCATGGGCGGCGCTGATCGCTTACCAGGTGATCTGTCTGCTCGTTTGCCTCCTATTCCATAAAAAAATGCAGAGCACATGATTATTGCTTCTAGGTACTTGTTCCTGTAAAATACTGAAAGGAACTCAGCTTAATCCAAGTTACATGAAAAATGTCAGTTGAGTACATTACACACAAGGTACACCTAACCCAGAGATTGGTATCAACTTTTATTAAGTGCAGCGTACGAAGAAAAATTTTGAAATCAAACTTTAAAAAAGTGCCCCAAGCTTGTTTAGCTTGCGCCTGTTGTCATGTCATAAGGTCCACTCTTTCGAGTTTTAATGAGTCACAATTTTACGGAGCAGTCTGTGTCATTCTTCGTTGTGTATTTTTTGAATGATTTTCCTCAAAACAAAATAAGTTATATGATTGAAAAATTTGTGTAGAAGCTGTCAATGTTATTCTAAACACATTTTACAGTGGTTTCTTTTTTCGCTTTCCATTTCTGAGACAGTGCCTAAATGGGGGTAAGGGTGAGATTCGTGAGCCAAAACTGAGTTAATAAACTGCAAAGTTGTAGAATAAAAATTTTGGTTGTGTAACGATTCATGCCGACGACTTTTACGTTTACGTGTCCACTGCTCTGTGTAACGTTCCATTTGGTTTCTTCGACACGAGATCTCAGTAAGGATTGTTACATTCCTCGAATTAGGAAACGTCTAAATACCTGCTTCAAAAAGCCGATTGTGTAATGAGAGTTTAATGATATTCATTTCAGACACAATCTTAAAATATGGAAACCGAGCATTTGTTTAAAAAATATTTGCTGTATTTTATATTTATTCATAAACTTACCCATAATAATATACATGTACATATAATATAATATGAGTAATTATTTCTGTCATTGAAGTTGATTGCACAGGGTCATATTTTAATGTACATATGTATATAGAAGTTTTTTTTATACGTTTAATAATCCTTTGCAATTTATTTTTTATATTATTATATACATTTCACCCTACCAAAATCCTTCCCTATACACGATATATATCACAATAATAGTGAATCATATAGATACATATATAATATTTATTATTTGCGGGGATCGATATTGTGATGTACGGACCATTGAAAAATGCTGGTTCAGCTGGCTAATTCATTATTATCAATATACTTTGATAATCGATGTGTGGCATTTATGATTTAAAACAAATCATAAACATTGGCAATTCATTCATACATTCATACCATTACCAAAAAAGTCGTAACTAATCGCCTAAGATAGTGAAAGAAAATGGGTTTTTGTTCTGAAAATAGAATCGGTAAAATATATACGGTAAATAAGAATAGTAAATGCCAGTATAGATGAGGAATTATACAATATTGAATAACAAAACCCCTATGAACAATTTTACGTATCAATCCAAAAAAGAACCAAACTCATTATCAAGTTTTCGAACGTCAAATAACAAGATGACAGAGTCTCCAACACATTTTCAACTTTATTGTTTTGTTATAAAGTAAAAAATTACCTGTATCGTATACTCGTAATGATAAGAAACACACGAGACAAAAAACTAGTGGAACACGTCAAGAGGTCAGATGTCAGGTCGATTAAGGTCATATGCCAGAAGACGACAAGGGTTTTGATAGCCTTCAGTTCAAATAAACATTACAAAAGATTAGAAGCGAACTGTGATGTAATAAGTTCAATGAATATCACTGCGAACTGGTAGACATAGAAAAAAATCAATGCCATCAATCTAAATTGAATGCTGTGTTAAAACTTTTAAAACTCAAAATTGTTTTCTGTAACGCAGAATGATGATTACTAAATACGTAGATCCATCTATTTTCGAATTATAATAACTCTAAAATTCAAACACATATTTTGTATTATAAAAAAAATCATAATGATATGTAGTTTGTTTTTTGTTTCTTAAGCCCCTTTCAATTGTTGTGTGCATACTTGATGAGAACATTTTAGCATTTAAATAAGTAATAGATTTATGCAGATGAGTGGTTCGTTGCTTAAGAAACATCAAAGCAACTTATTCTCTTTGAAGAGTACCTACATTGTTAAAATAAAAATAGCATATACTATTAAACCTTAAGAATAATTGCTCACAATTCTATAAGGACAGATATAATTCATCATACCTCGTTGGCCTCGCGATTTTAATTGAAGTCTCCAATTAATTTGGTCTCAATAATTACATTACCATGTAATTAAATATGTATATCAGCCAAAGAATTAAATAACTTTCCATTTCACAGAAAACACAAAATATCTTGATTATTAATGCTTTATTTTTATCGAGTTTAATGCAAAACAGCTTCGTGATTCTATGTTTCATAGACTATTCAAAAGCCTTTGACTGCGTGAAATGGGACAAACTGTGGTGTTACTACAAATGGGATTTCCTGAACATCTCATCGCTTTTTTCCACAAAAATGGACCTTTCGCTAGGTTGGACGCAAACTCTAAAGTGTTATAGGCGAAAAGATTATGAATATGAGCTGTCTTTGATGATTTAACTCGTTGAGTACCGTCTTTGTAGACACAATTATAGAACAATAAGTTGCGGTCACCGGTGACCGCTTGGTGTTTGACAGTTTTATTACCATAAAAGTCTAATCCTTGTCCCTGTTCTTATATCATAGACAGAGTGGTCAGCTAGCAACATCATAATATTCTTGTATGTTAAAAAAGTAAAGTAAATTACAAGAGATATTTAAAAAGCAGACGACAAGCAAGCTGTCTTTAATAAAACCTGCCTCTGTATGTTTAGTATTAAAATTAATTCACCCATCATAACGGCTTCGGCTTCCGGAATGAGGCTTAATAAAATTCGTCGCGTTCAAAGAGAACTAGCTGTGCTGAAATGCATTTCACACTAACTAAATTAAAATTCAGCGATTATGAATTAAAAGTTAGGTTTCATGAAATTAAATTGTGGCAAATATTTCTGAATAATATGAGGTTGTTCAGGTATTAATTTATTAACAAAGAATAATTACGAACATTAATAAATAAATGTTAACACTAGTTAGTATAAACTAACAGTGCTAACTCAATATAACTGCTTACTTCAAAAACAATTGAAACTATGCTCCACGCTGTGTAAAACGATTAAATATTCATTAAAATTATGAGGTTAAACTGTCGGACCAATTCGCTACGACTGCTAATTTTATTTAGTTGACGAACGAAAATCTTGCTCAAGAAACTATATGCCACTCCGAAATACAGGCGATTAATATAATAATTGTCTACCAAAAGCTGACTAACAAAAACATGTCCGATACATAATAGCCCATACACATCAAAATGGTTGCCTTACTTTTTAATGAAAGTTATTTTCTATCGTTTGGCGCCACTAGCAAATCTTGCTAGGATGAGTTAATCGTGACTGTAGATAAATAACTATTACTTCCTACCAAAATATTATAGTTTGGACTTTAGACTACTGAGGTCAAACTACAATGCACACTAGTACAAGAACAATTATCAATTATTTTATTGACTAAAGATCTAATAGAAGCTTAACCTCTTGACTGCCGGTATATAAGACACAATAGAAAATGCATTGTGTCTCGCGTAAATCTACGTTCCGGTAAACGACGGGTTAATAGCGCTTATCTATCTCCAAGTGTAATGTATTAATGTTGATATAAAAGACAGTCGTCACCGTTACCATTGCACTTTGTGTAATTGTCTGCATATGAAAGCGTTATTGTATATGTTGGCCTTGTTGTGCAATAATATTATATTATTTTTATAATCGAGCTCTTACCACAAATTAAAACAATTGATCCGATTTCACTTTCATCGTGATATTCTCTGCAATAAATTTATTTTGCAATTATATTAAAGAGCTTTTCGTATGAAGAACAGCTCTATTATATGGGTTGATATTGGCCTTGACCAGTACGTTATCTGAAAATCAATAGGTATTTCGCAATTTAATTGTTTTGAGTGACATGCGTTGATCATTTTACAATGTCCATGTAGGCAGGTATAGTTCAGACAGATAGTAACCGTGAATTCTCTTTTTTTGTTTTGGTCAACAAATGCGCAAAGCTATTGTTTTGGTATTTGTGTTTAAATATTATAGATAAGACCATCACTGTTTAAGTCGAGCCTTTAGACGTAATCGAAAATAAATCCAAAATCTATGACTTAGAGAATCCCACGTAATCAGCAACGATTGAACTCATTTCATGTCTTGAAGCACGTCTGCGCTAGAAGGTGACCATTTATTCCTTTTAAAATCTAAAGTCTGTTTATGACAGGTTCCACGTCAACGGCACTAGAAGAGTCTCTGGCTACTCTTTTGACGTGTATTCCAACCACAAACTGTTTATCGTTTTTCCAACACGATATTGCCGATATCGGGAAATAAATAGCGTCTATGACGTTTTCAATATCCGCAATGAAAGTGAATTCAATGTTTCTTTGATCTTGAACCTGAACTTCTAGTTGAAATGGAATAAAATATCGTGTATAGGTACATCGTATGCATTTATATTTAGTTGTGCGAGTAACTTTTAGACGCGAGTTTTTTAAAATTACTTAGTTGGAAACGCTGCTTTGTTCGTTGGTGGTTGTGCTAAGTTGTTGAACGTTACAACCAACAGTTCGACCAAGGAGAATCTTCGATGCAATATATCCAATAAAACTACGTTTTTATTTTGTTGCAATTTTCTCTAAATCAAGTAAATTCAGAGTTTGGTTAATACTTGGACAACAATATTTTGTTCAGCCCTAGACTAGCTAAAACAAAAACCTATTTTCTGTCACTTAGGAGACGTGTCAATTAACAAAACACTAAGAAATTTCATTCTCGATATCAATATCAATCACTGATCATTATAACTGACTGACACTACTTACACGAGTAGAAAGAGTACCCGATTGAACTGAAAAGTTTCTGAAAAGCTTTTAGCCACACACTGGAATGTACTGAAAAGTTTTCAGGGTTATCATGTAAGTCATCCAGAACTTTTCTAATAACTGCAGTTTCACTGTAAGTACAACTATTGATGAGAGTTTTACACACATAATATATATACATAGATAGTATACATATAATCATAGTATGGCACTTAGATGATTACTTTTTACTTTGCTTTACGCTTATACAAACTGAGTTGTAGCAATATACGGACTGAAAAAGCAATTTAATTAAACTTTTGGTCACAAATCGTCTTGAAATGTCTTACGCGGGCAGACTGCACATAAAAACACACAAAAACTAATTTATTCATAGAAATAATAAGGATATTGGTAGTTTTATTTTCGAAGGAAAACTATCAAAGGGTGCTTCGCTTTTGGGATGAAATAGTAGGGTGAAATCATAGTGGGATCCCCGCCCCGGTGGTTACCGTCAGCACCTATAGGGCACCGCGTCCTCTAAATAGACCAACTCCGCACATTTCTGGCTCTACCGCATTTCCATTTCTCACAATAATTTGCTAACTTTTATAGCATTCAAAATATACTTTGATAATTAAAAGTCCTTTCTGCAAAACTGAGAGTGTTTATATTTCCCAATTTGTCACTATATTTATAAATCTGTGGGTGTCATTCGTGAGACATTCTGAATATCAAAACAAACAGTTCGTCGCGTTATTCACTAATTGGCCAAAACATTTTATATTAACTAACTACTCGTGCTTCAAAGCAGTAACTCCACACAGTTTCGTTTTCATAAAAAAATAAATAAAGTTTAATGAAACGCTACGAGTGCCTCGTCACAGCCACTTATCTCAAAACTGTCTTTCAACGAGAGCACTTTTCTAAATCCGGTTGAATTATTACCTACCATGAAACATAGTTTACAAATTCGTACTAAAATATTCCAACTCATTTTTGCGTTCAAAATTAAAACTGCATGTTCATTTTCTTTTATTTATTTTAGTTTTATAATTTATTTTTGTTTTATTATGCAATACCTCATTACATATAATTGAAATGAATCTGATTTGAATACTCAATGAAAATGAGTAGACATGTGGTATAACATTGGATATATGTGACAGTTGGATCAACAAGTAATCCAGGTGTTGCCTCGCGTACCATCTGCCTTGCAAGAGGCAGTGCAACGTCTTCTGGCAAGGGATCCTCACCCTCGCCCAACCACTCAGTTGTTGCCGCTGATTAAATACTTTAAGTAAGTTATTGTTCTATAATTAAAGGAAAACTGCTGCTTCCAAAATAGCTAACATTATTTATACTTTGTTACGATGTCTGAGAGAAACAAGAAGGATGATTTTTTTTTTAATAAAAGGGCGTAAAAAGTTGTGATATTCTATTAAACCAGTTCAAAATTGTCTTCAAACTTGTTAAAAATATTTTCTCTCCATATAGAAACAAGGGTGACCAAGAGCAAGCAATATCCGCGATGCAATTCCTGGATGTGGTGACCATGAAAGATCCGAACCAGAAGGCTCACTTCTATCGGAACACTCTGATTGAGGCGTTGCCAACCATTCCTAAGGTAAGTAAAAGCGTTATGTAGTTTACAAACAATATTTTATTCAGAATTTAATGACCGTGGTCTAAGATCCCTAAGACCCCGTGGGAATACTCCTATGGTAGCGCTTTCGTAACTAAGGTATATCAAGCGACTAAGCAGAGGTTATCAAAATACCTGGTCGTGCGATCATAGTGTCCCAAGCAAATAGTGTTTTAATGAATAGTCAATGAAATTATACTTTTACTTTAATTGTATGAAAGATTTTATAATACTTGTGAACGTGGACAAGTATCTTTACCAAATAGGTATACCTATATTCTCTTTAGGTGACAAGATGTAGAGATTCAAACATACACTAAGACACATTCGCCACTTTAGTACGCTGAAGTAGTAAACAAAAAGACATATAATATCAGTTATTTTCATGTTATACCACTTTAAAGTCGCGGAGAACCTAACGGGTAACCGGGGCTCCGGCTCGACGTGCAGGAGAAGGAACAGGGTGGTTTTTAGTCAGTAAGAGTCTGACACTCCCTCCCGCCTCACCCGGGCGGGGGCAGTCATTCGATGATTTTCCCACCTTAAAAAAAAAAAATACCACTTTAAAAACCGACTATCCACGTTAATGCGCAAATAATAACAGATTTAGTATTCGATACTGTTTCCAAACACAATATTTATTTTGTATATCAAATAACTAACAATTCACGTTACCAGTGTTGTTTCACCAAATCAACCGAGCCGACGTTAATACCTTATCTTATTTTTAGACAACAATTAAATTTCGGTTTGGCTTGATTAAAATATTATATTTCTAATTAAGATTCTAAATCTAAGTATTAACTTTTCTATAAATATCAAAGGGTAGCTTGAGGCAATTTCTAAGTGTGGGTGAGCCATGCTTCGGCACGAATGGGCTCGACTGATGTGATACCACGGCCTTACAGAAAACCGACGTGAAACAACGCTGTGTTTTGTCATGTGAGTAAGGTTACCGGAGGCTCAATTATAAGTTACCTGGTGAATAGTGTGCATAGAATTAAAGCTATTTTGTATAGCAGTCAAGCAGATATAATAGTTTTAGCTTTTGCAACGTCTGTAGACAATTTAGCTACTTCGATCTACGGCTATAGTTTCAACATTTTGGGATGGAACAATTTTCTTCTTCCGCAAATAACAGTATTCCAATTTATTATAAAATTAGTATTCATTCTGCATCGTTGGCCGAGTGCTCGCAAGTGCGTCTGCCGGGCCAGGGGTCTCGGATTCGATTCCCGGGTCGGACAAAAATTACTGGGTTTTTTTAATTTCTCAGTAGTAGCACGGAGTCTGGAATTGCTCCGGTATATGGCAATAGGCTCACCCCCTATTACATGGGACTCATAACATAAATAGTGAAAAGTGGGTGTTACATTACAGTGGCATTAGATGCCGTAATGTGCACCTCTGCCTACCCTTTCGGGGATAAAAGGCGTGATGTTATGTTATGTACCACTGAGAAACACCCAGTAATACTTTGCCCGACCCGGGAATCGAACCCGAGACCCCTTGCCCGGCAGACGCACTTGCGAGCACTCGGCGAACGATGCAGAATGAAAACTAATTTTATAATAAATTGGAATACTGTTATTTGCGGAAGAAGAAAATTGCGATCACTCGGCCAATGAGGCACAGAGAAAAAGAGACGTACATTATAATTTAATTTTATCTTATAGTAATCCTAATAATCAGCAGAAGTAATAGTTGATTACTAATTACCCATATTGGTTGGTGGTAGTTCCATAGTCTCTGCCCCCACGGGAGATAGGCGTGAAGTTATGTATGTATGTATTATGGTTAGTTGTTGATTACTAATTTTGGTCACCTTATTTAATAGATTAGTAAATTTAGCTCTAATTAACATTACGTAGGACTTGCGAGAAACCTAATTAATGTCACATTAACATGATAATCTGATAATTTAGGTCATTCAGTTTCAAATACCAACTTCTAGAGATTTAGGTCGAACCCGTAAATGTAATTACTGAGACTCATTCCTCATTGCTTTATGTTTCCTGTATTGAGCGTTAGAGACGTACCTAATCATTGGGTATCAAACGGTGTACTCTAATTTACTAACTTTTACTTGTATTTTTATTAAAAACTTGACTGTCTCGTTGGCCGAGTGGTCGCAAGTACGACTGCCGGGCAAGGGGTCTCGAGTTCGATGCCCGGGTCGGGCCAAGTATTAAAGGATTAAAAAAAATCTCAGTCAGCACAGAGTCTGAAATTGTGCCCGGTGTATGACAATGGGCTCACCCCCATTACATGGGTGTTACATTGTACAGTGGTATTAAGTACCGTCATGTGCGCCTCTGCAATCCGTAAGTAATGTGAACATCATGGCGTGATATTATTATGTTTATATTTTATTAATAACTTTATGCATATATAAGTCCATTGAAAGAGCTATTGGATACTACGAATAATTACAAACTCAACTCTTGGGATGCCCAGAGTGGGTATCAAATATTTGCCACAGGAAAAGAAGATTTAAGATAATTTTAGTTAATTATATAATAATAATATATGTATATCATAATATTATTTTATAAAATAAGAGTGAATATCGTATATAGGAATAACATCAGTACATGCAGAAGAACATTACTGATGTAAGGGTTCTGCCATTTTCCTTTTTATGGACATAAAAGTAACTAAATCTGCGAAAGCCATGCTTCAGCACGTATGGGCCGACTCGACCGGAGTGATACCACGGCCTCACAGACAACCGACGTGAAACAACCCTTGCGTTGTGTTTCGTCGTATGGTACCTGGTACCAGAGGCCCATTATTCCCCTCCCCAATCTCCTCAATCCCTGAATCCCCAACAATTATCAAATTCCTAATCCCAAAAAGGTCGGTAGCACACTTGTAACACCTCCGTTATTTCGAGTGTCCATTGGCGGCGACGATTGCTTACCATCAGGTGATACGTCTGCTCGTTCACCACATTACCAAAAAAAAATATGCACTACCCCCACAAAATATTAGTCCGCTTTCCATCTACATAAGGTTTTTTAATCCGATATCATAAAACTTTTTTTTAAATGAATGCCTGAATCCACAGAGTATTAAAATGACTTCAATACTCTTTGCATGCATAAATAATAATTAAAGTACTTTGAATTATTTCGTTCTTTAGGTACTTATGTTAACATATTTTGTCTTTCAATAATATTAACAAATATTAGTAATGGTGCGAGACAAAAAATACTTTTAAGCTTAAATGAAAGCATTATTGTTGTCAAAACCGTACTGAAACTAGTACCAATAACTTTTAATTGTTTTAGCGTATTCAGAGCTCTCTAACTTCCTTTTCCAATTATTCCACCTGGAGTTGGAAAAGCAGCAGTAATAGGTTAGCACACAATTGTACTCAATAAACAATACATCGTTGCTCAAAGTTTGTTTTAGAGGTAGTTTTGCCAATTGTACACTCAAATACAGATCAAGCTATGCACAACCAGTATAAACTGATCGTTGAATTTACGGAAAAATTATATAAAACGGGACCATTGATACTGGTTGTGTAGCTGAATGTACCTTTGACATTGTATGCACCTGTTCGCTTTGTCAAACAATTTTGCTAAAAGAATATCACCTTTGTATTTCCTTTCAAACAAAGTTCAAAGTCGTCTTAGGAAAGTTGACAATTTGTTTTCTTCTTATAAACTAACATTATAAGTACCTTTGTGTTCTCGAAATTTTTATGTAAAATGTCGTGGTTTTGTTTAGTTTAAAAATAGTAAATTTATGTGCAATATTTTTATATTTTGATTTTAAATTATTATGAGAACATACATTTATAGAGGCTAGGTAGACACTTACTAGACTGAAATCATGGCCTTTAATACATTAATGTTCCCCTAGATACAAACTTGGTGGATCGGTCGTTATGGAGATGTACAGTAATCTTAAAAAATATATGGTTTTTTACCTTACTAATAATAATTTCAAATATTATTTTGTTTTGCTTTTAGAAACTGCGTTGGCAACACATTTGGCCGGCTCTGCAGACGGAGGTCCGCACCGCCGAGGTTCTGGCTTCTGTCCTCCAGTCCGTGATGTGGATGGTCAAAGAGTCTGATGAGGCGGAATTTGAAATCTACATAATGCCAACTCTAAAGTAAGAAACACTTCGGTATCGGTAATACATATATTGTTACCAACGCTTTCATATAAGGCTGGTAGTACAATACAAAAAATGATACAAATAACCCAATCTTCAAATATTTAATGTACTTATAACCTTTTGAAAAATACTCTCGTAAAATGAGCAGGGTTGTTAGACAGCCCTATTCGATCTCTCCACGAGTGTATTACGGTAATTTAGTTACCACGTACCTGTTTCCGAAACTTTTTACTTTTATATCTTTGAAAAAAATAATAGTACAAAGAAATTCACTCTCAGATATTCATCTCACAAAATTAAGCTTAGGCAAAATTGAAGCGAAGTTTTTGTAAAACGAAATCATTAACTAAGAAATCTCTTTTTTGTAAGAAATATCACATATAATATTAAGTGTTTAAAGTTGTATTTACGCGAAGTCTTTATTTCTAACAATTACCTTTTTTATTATTATAAATTACCGATATTTGAAGAAAAATGTTTTCCAGGTGTGTTTTGCAATGCTAATGAGTTCTAAGAATATTATTGTCTGTGTTGTTTATGATTTACGAAGCGATTAATCTTCTTATCGTTTTCTTTACAATACATTAATCAACCATAATAAATTTTAGATGCGTAAAATTAACCATTAATATTCTATTCGTAAACCGCAATATCAGCATAACTTGACATAAAAAATAACTTAGATTTAAATGTAATGGAAGATTTATTCGAACCATTACAATTTCCCGTGCAAGACTGGCTTTTCCGGATTGAGCATTTAGACGTTCCGTTTCAATTTTATCTTCTAACTGCAATTTATTTTTCATCGTAATATTTTGTTTTGTTTAACGTATTATTGAGCACATTATATCATTTCTTTTAGGGCTCTGTTCAATTCGCCGAGAAGCATTCAAGCATCGGTCACCATTCTTGAGAACATGCACACAATCATGCTAAAATGCAAACAAAAAGAGATAGACCAAGAGGTATTGCCACTATTGTACCACGCTTTGGAAAGCAACACTATGCAAATCCAGGTACGCTATTTTCTTTTATTATATTATATATAGCGAATTACATTATAGTAAAACATATTCAGGTAAGAATAAACAAAAACATTACTTTGTTTGTACAGGCTGCATCGTTGGTTGCCACGCAAAATATTTGCGATACCATTGATAACAAGGCGCTCCACACCGAACTTTTAAACAAAGTGAAGTCGCTCCTGGAGAGGAATGCTAGCGACGTGAAGATAATCAGCTTGGTTCTCTGCTTCTATGAAAAGATTATTGTGAAGTTCGACAAGACCATCATCTTGGAGCAGGTGATTCCGACTCTGCTGGCTATGCGGCTCAGCGACCCAGATATCGTCACGCGTGTCGTTAGTGAGTATATTTATGTGGTTTCTTGTAACTAATTATTATTCCATATCTAATTAATTTTAACAGCTCTGCGCATTAGTTTATAACTGCTTTAGCGACATATACTAAATTTGCGAGTTCTAATGCCAAAGCTATTTCAAATTTCCGACTTAAGCGATTTTCGACACCACAGCAAATTGTTTCATCCACACTGCGTAAGTAATAATTTTGAGATTATAAAACCTACTCATTACAGAACTATACAAGTCTCTACTCATGGAAAGGAGATTTGGGGTACCTACCAATGTGATGGCAACGAAAATGATACCTTCATTAGCTCCGCAAACGGTTAATCCTGCTCTGAATGTCGACCAGTTTACTAATCTGATGGAGGTATATTTACAGAGACTTTTATTTGAACTGTATACTCCAGGCTTATGGATCACAAGATTGAACTAACAATGTGTTTGTTGCGGCGCACCGTCCAGATCCTGTACGACATGCTGGAGAACATCGACCGCCAGCAGCGCTACAAGCTGAAAGCCGACAACCTCGCGCTGCCTAGTCCGGAGCGTCGCAAACTTCGTCATCAGATGAGCACAGATAATATGAACGCACCACCTTTTAATATTCCAAACTTAAGAGTGGATCAGCGTAAAACCTCTAGTGCTGAGGATATGGCCCGTAAAAATTCTATGAGTGGCCCCCCTCCCACCGCCGTTCCTAGCACTAGCGGTAGTGTAGGCGGGTTCAAGAGTAAGCATACGTTTACAAAATGTAGTGTTAAAAGCCCGACACGACCAAGAATCATACGGAAATTTTCTGTAGGCACAGGTATTGGCCAGTGGTTCTTCGGATCCAGCAATTCTACTAATACCGACAACAATTTCCTTCGCGTTTCAAGCGCTTTTCCCAACCGCCGCCTGTCGGATAACACTCTGATGACGCCCAAAATACGCATCGCGCCATCTTGCGCCTCGTCCCCGGGTGGTACTCCGGGAGGAACATCTGGCTTGCCCACACGCCGCCACTCGAGCATCGGGCCGCAGGAGCGTCGGGGCTCGGCAGTGAACCTTTCTCCGCCAACCGTAAGTTATATACGTACAACCCTTTACGCTTGCACGCTTGTTTTAACACTGATAATTCTAATAGTATGTACCTACATACCACTTATTATTAACAATTTAAATTTAGAAGCTTGGAACAGGGCTGCCCGTAGTAAAAACGATGACGGTGAGGAGTCAGGGTGTGAGGTAAATCCGGTAGTGAAAGTGGTTATTTTGACAGGGGCACCAGTACAGGGGAAGGGCTGGCGGCTCAGGCTCGAGCCTGTCCGTGCCGGCAACGTCACAATGCGTCGTAAGTGATGTGAAACTCGTACACGTACGCCCGCCTGGCTGCGTGTCCTCCCCGATCCCCCTTTTGAATGTGGAAATGTCCAGCTTTACATTGATGTGGTTCTGTTCTTCTGCGGTCGTGTCTTCTTCCCAAACCGACTGGGAGAGATAGTATTTGATCTTTCATCACATTATCATTTTGCATATGCACGTGGATCGGACCTTTCACCGCATCGCATTAATGCTATTCCTTTCAATCCTGCGAGAAGCCCGAACAGACACAACACTTCAAGAAATAATGAAGTGATGCATGTTCGTTGAAGACTTTGTTTAGTGAACGTCCGCGATGCATGAACGCCACACCACCGCGTTGAATGTATCGTTGAATGCTCTGCTGGGAGGGTAGCTCCTCTCGCCTCTGGTGAATGCTACTGTATCCATTCTGTGATTGTTCGGGTGTGTACCTGCAGACACGTCGATTCCATTGTGGCACGTTTTTTCCAAATTAACCCGGTAAAACAATTTCAGGAAATATTTGCAAATATAAATGAAATTTTAAACTTTTATCACAGCGTGTACCAATTGGCTTTAGAGAAATCGGTTACAGTACTACAAGAGTACTGCACAGCACAAACAATGTATATCCCACCGTTCGGCAGGTCACATAGGTCTTCTTAAGTGTTGAATGTGTTTGTTTGAAGGACGCTACGCAAGAAAGGTAATCATTTGTTCATTCATATCAAGGCTCTATGCCATGTATTACGTATTCGCTGTCTCATTTACTGTTGCTATTTGTTCTTCTACGCAGCTTGCACGGAGCATGATCGTGAGTATATGGTTCCATTCTACTATTTACTGCGAATCGCGCAGTACCTATCAATCATTGTTTCCAAACTGTTATATACTATCATGAGGAGTAGAGTACACTAAGATGTTGCCTTTTACGTTTGATAGTATTACTTCTCCGTCATTGCACAGTTTGAACATCAGTTTAGCAGCCCTTGTGCGTAATACTTAACATCTGGCAACATCTACGTGCGAGTATTTCGCTGTAGTGTAGATCTGAGTATCAACAACTATGAATCACAAGAACTTTCTCAAGCCCACCACGCTTTAAAACGCTAAATATAGACGTACGTATATTAACCTAAATATAAGGCATGCCTTAGTTGATTATTATAGTATACTTTCATTGTGGTAGGATAAGAATTGATAAATTTTCCCATTTAACACTAATACATACTCAAATGTCATTGTCAGAATTGATGAATCTCTTGAATTTTTGGTAAGGTGGTCTTATCGGTAAAATTTGCGAAAACATGGGAAGTGTGAAGGAGAAATTTAGGTTGGTTTAAACCATTTCATTACATATTTGGCAAATTCGTATTATACAAGATTTCAGGTTACGTCGACCTAGACTTTACTGATTTTTATATAGGTACAATTATCGACTATTTCTCTGAGAATAAAATTATAGAATACATGTTCGATCGATTAAGTTGAAGTTCATTAGTTTTAAAGATTGCCCACGGAGAACGTGGAACAGACAGTTTGTTATGAAGCTAACAAGTTCGAGATAGCTGCGGCTTATAAAACTTATAAAAGTTTCTGATACCTGTTCTATACAAGCAGCAGTAGAGGTAATTAAAAATCATTAGTAAGATCGTCCTAGTAAAACAATACTTGATCATATTTTCTAACACGTTATATAAATAGAATAGGTATTGTATCTTTTAATACATGGACTTGAGTAGAGTATTTGTATAAATTAATATACAACATAAATCTTAATTAGTGTAATTTTTGTACTAGCCTGTATACGTGTATGTTCGTGTGGTAAGTTTAACTATTAGAAACTTATGAGCATTGATTAGTGTTTTCATTGAATGTGTCCATGTTTCTGACTAAATTGAAATAGACCACATACCTACCTAGAAATAAATACATTTTAGTTTTTACAATATTAATTACCACCGGAATGTACCCTTAAAACCGCTGTACGTTTAGATTAGTTATTATTTTTATCCAGTAATGAAGGAACCGAAATAATATTGTCCATTTAAATACACAATTACAATATATCCGTAGTGCATTGTAGCCCTATCCATATTGATATTTGGAATGTAATCCTACTTTTCGCAAATGACTACCGCTAAGGCCCCGCCCATTGGCATGTAAGTATTAACATATTGTTGCTGTATAGGGTGGCTCAATGCCAAACACATCGTCGAGCGTACCGTTTCTGCTGACTTCTTCAATGCAATCCATTCGCTCGCGCCGCCCATCGGCCTGCCTGAGCGGCTCTCAGGGCTCCGGACTGCTGCAACAGATTAGCAGTGGCATGGTAAGGCACCTACCGAGCAGCAGTAGACACCACTCGCACGCGTCGACTTCGACCAACTGGAGCCTGCAGGGCGCCACCGCGGCCGGCTACAACGCTCTGCAGCACACCGCCATGGCAGTGAGGAAATGCCCCTCACTCAATATTACCCTCACGCGTTAAACACCCGCCGCTCGAACCCCGCCACCTGTACAAGCCGGAGGGCGCACGTAGTGTTAGCGGAGCCTCTCGCGCCACCTTCGGCTGCTTCGTGTTTACTTGTACCCGTACGCGGGCCTCGCCGTGTCTCTCACCTTGCGATCTGCCGACAAGGGCGATCCCCGTCCGGTCCCTTGATGTTTAGTAGTTACCATATATTATATCGATGTTGTTTTAAGTATTACCATACTAACTTTATTTGCGAGTATTTTATTAGAGATATAAACTTGTTTATTTTCCTATGCTGTCTATCAATATTGATTTTAGTTAGATTGTGAAAGCGTAAGAAATTGAAAGAGTATACGGAAACGCGTAATCTTTTCATAAAATTCTTAGGATGATACCGACGTCACTCAATATTAATATGTATATAAATTCACTTGTATGTATAAAGATTGTTAACAGAGGTATGATGTGGGACAACCTGTGTAAGCTTTAATCAGTATAATGTGGACATATCACTTCGGGTGAAGACAAGAAGTCGGAACATGTCCATTTGTAATAAAATTAAGAGTTAGAGATTGAATAACTTATTATAACAGTATAATGTTACCAAACTGATAGTATACAGCAAAATGTTGTATAGAGGTGCTGTGATATGATATTATTGTATTTATTAGAAACTACTTTATAGTAGTATAATAACTTCTTCTGTTGTTGAACGTTAACACTTTAATGGCATTTGAGAAATCGTTGGCTATCAAAAAGACGGTTATGTGCCAAATGTTAAATAAATAATATTAAAATGATATAATGCGCCAGCAGGACTATCATGTCGGCGGTTGAGCGTCTGATTAACGTAGATTGAAAACTGCATGTTATTGTAATGTCGACAAAAGTGTCGGAGTGTGACATGTCAGCGGGCGGCAGTAGCCACGGAGGATACTTCGGCCGGCATGCCGCTACCCTCATCGGTTACACGGGCATTCCGTCAACTTGTCGAAAGCTTGCACGAGAAGGCTCAGAAATAAGCATTATATTAAAGTAAATGTTTAATATGCACACATACATTGGGTGCGTTAGAAAAATATAAACAACCTTGAATAAAATTGTACTAATGACATTTTAATATTTCGTGTAAGACTCGCGCCTCAGATAATACCTAGGCGTTGTAATAGTTACTTAAAGCGACGTACTAATAAAAATCAACATTGGCTAATAAAATGTCAACAAAACGTGCGTAAAAGTTTTCCGCGAAACGAACTAATTTATTTACTCGTACCTTCGTTGTTGTACAGTCAGCATAATATAGTATATGCAGAAACTGTGTGTGTACTTAGTACAGTATACACTTTCGGTTTGAATACTTAGAAGTCAACCTACCCTCTTTGAGCTTGAGTACCTACATTTAGTTTGCTTTTCCGGCTTATCGGTACGTATTGTGTAGTGTTGAGGATTGTTTGCTCCGTAGTCGGGAGACACCTAGTTAGATGATGCTGGCGGAAACAGCAGGGCTGGCGCTGGCGTAGAGTAGACTGTAGCACTAGTTGGTACCGTAGCGGGCGGGCGGGGACCGCGCTGCCGGTTGAGGTAGCGGCGCGAACTCCCGGCCGCAACCATTGATCTGGCACGCGCTTTGTTTTAATATTTTGTTTTATTATGGTTTCTTCCAGTACCAGCTGTTTTCCGGACGTACATAAAGAGAATTTCATATACGTTAGAGCCGCGTAGCGTAAACCGAGACCGGATTGGCGCCCACGGGCCGCGCTTGCGCCGAACGCCACGCGCCCCTCGCCGCCCGTCCGCGCCTCGTCGCTGCACGCGCTCATTTCTACTTATAAATGAGCTTCGATTTTTTTAAAGTACTTTTTCGATCCAAAATTAATAAATCTAGTAAATCTGTTGCAAATAATTACACTTATGAATATTTACTAACTCTCATAATTATTAATAAAATTATCAGTGTCATGCATATCGGCCTAACGATTTTCTAATGACTTGCGGTAACATCTAACAAATTTTCTGTTTCAATGCATGCTGACTGTCAATACGCACTTTTATAGATTGACTAAGTAACATTTACAAAATTACTAATATCAGAAACCACACAATGGTTATGGGTGCATCCGCATTCGTTTCCGTAATCATTTGATTGTCAGTAGAGTGTTCGTTTGTTACGCCGAAATTGCAATCAGAATGAAAGGTATTGAGTTGCACGTCACATGTACCGGTCATGACCTTGTAATACCTACATTTGGCACAGTAATATGCACTTCTTGACAAAATAGTACCGCTTCTGTATGCACATTTTTACACCTCTTTATTGAAGTATTGGGACACTCTAGTTTGATTAGAGCTCAGAGCAAGAACATACTCTCCGGGGAAAACAAAGTAAATACCACATTGGACGGAAAGTAACTAAGTCGATAGATAATGTTCGAGTAAATGTAATGTTTAACAGATATTTGGCACCGATAGCTGAGATTTCTCGTAAAGCATGAGTACTATACGAGTAAGTAACGATTAGAGTATTCGAGTACGTATTATGCTCTAAGTAAGTAAAGTTAAGTAAAAGAGATTTTTTGAAATGTGATAGTATATCGTGAAAGTTCACCTGTCGGTCCAGTACTCTAACATGGTGCCAAATTAATTAAAACTAAATTAAATGATCGCGATGAAAATGATAATTCACGTGACAAATTTGTAAATTAAAATAAATTATATCTTCGAAAGAAAAACTATTTCACTCTTAACGCGCGGTAATACCATGCAAAATTCTTAGTATTAATAAAACTTTTTGCTTGAGATCGTAAACTATGATAACGTCAAATTAAACGCCGGTGTAACTGTAGCTAATATAAACAGCGAAATAGAGACGGTTAGTCGACCACTTAGTGTGGATTTCGCGATATTTAACCTTAAATATTGGTAATTTCAAAACGATAACATAAACACTACTTGGATTAAAATCAAACCTATTCACAAAAATAATGTAATGCAGCGTAACTAAATACATAATCGTCAAATTTGAAGAATTGATAGAATTGACTAGAATGGAATACATGAAGGGTAAACATTTGAGAACAAAATATTTAAAAATCTAGTCTGCATTAACCACTTACTTACACATATTATATTCTATTAAAACAAGACTCGCATACTTTCAATTCCTTTCAGCTTTGTCAACCAATTATGTATTATACATCTTATTGCTTAAACATAATTGTATAATATATGCCTATATTTAATATGAAATGCTGATAAACGCTACACGTTTGTGGAAATAGGATACCAGTTTTAGTAAATGTAATTTCTTGAATCGCAATGAGACACTTTCATGAACGTGTAGGTATTTATAGTAAATCAGAATAATATTTGACATCTGCAATTACTGCAGTTTATAACCAAAACGAGAAAATCTATTAATACTTGTATTATAACTAACTCCTTGTAGAAATGTACTCAAAATAAAGCAGGTATCCTATATACACACTGACTTAAGCGAAGTAAATAAAACTTATATATAATATAATGTGCATAATGTTTCATTGAATATTAAAAGTGTGAAGGCATAATTAGGTATAAGTATGTCCAGAAAGTGAGAAGTAGACGTAAGTGAAGTATAAGATTTATCATAAATATAAAATTATACCTACGTATTATTATAACTATGATATATTGTAATTATTATAGTTTTAATATAATATATTATTATTATCATTGATGTTGTGAACTTAATAACTTTATTCTCAACACCCTTTGCCTTCATTTTTATTGTATAGTATTTAAATAAAAGTATATATGATATTGTATGTAATATATATCCAGGGCAATGTAATGAGGTAGTTTCGGGACGGCATGTGCTAATTTGTCGATGTCACTGTAAGTGGCAGCGACGAAAGTTTAATATTCAAGAAACACTTTATGAAAATTATGTTTCCCGCATTACCGTGAGAGGTGATTTGATAAACTTCTATTAAAACATTCCTATCGTCTTTCGAGACGAAGGACTCATAACTCACACAGCTTCTCAAGCTGCTGCGAGGCCGGACTTGAACAATGTATATTTTATCACGCACCTCCAAATACAAGATGGCGCTAACTCGAGATTTGACGATTAGCAATCATTTGAATGTCAATAACATAATTGCAAGATTAATGAACTTGCAAGAAATAATTTTATAATTGTAATCAGCAACAATGATTACGCATGTAGCTTGTGGTAACTCGGTAGTTCGAGACAGGTATCGTGCGGCTATAGGTCCCTTGTCTATCAGCTTGTCATAGTTGTCGTGGCCCCTGTCCACTTTCCTCCCCCTTATACCCCGTACACTCCTGTAATAAGTTGCGTCTGTACGTAGCCTCCTCGCAACAGTCCGGCAGATCACTACATTCTTCTAAGGGTTGTGGCATTTGCTCAGTACTATTATGTGATATCATTTCTGTGTGCCCTGTCCTATTATGATATTCATATCAACACTCACTTTTTGAATTATTCGATGTGATTCTATGAAGTAGATATTTAACCTTATTATATACCTTTTACGATATATAATTAATGTTTTATCAAATATTGTGCTACCTTTGTGATCTTGTTATGAATATTGACTTCTAACTTCTTTAAACTTGACTGCTCTCTTCTAAGGCAAAGATGATTCGACAATACTTTTATAAGATCTTTCGTATTTTTCGATCGACTCGAAACATTCTTGGTTAAATTTAAGGTGCATAGAGATATAATGGTATATATCGTGTTTGAGCTTATCAGATTGAATTTTATGAATAGTTACGGATTTTCCTGATTCTACTCTTGTTGAAACGAAAAGACGAAAAAGTTGCCTTAATCTTGTTAACTCTATTCTCACCATGTCCCAGACTGAGCAGTTCTTACACTTGAGGTCTTCTTCGGAAACCCGAGGTTTCTGGAATATCACTTTCCCTTTCCCCACGAACCTCCATTGTTCCTCTTCTAGGATCCCTTACATTTTTTGTGACTTTCTAATTAGTGTTGGATAAAGATCCACTCATATATCAATATTATAGTTAAAAATATATTAATCAACATAAATATAAATGTTATATTATCGTGAATTCAAATTATATGATACACTTATTAATATATACTTACTCATAAATATTAAACGATGTTTAGTAGAGCAGGTCCCCCGTTAAAAATCCCAAATGAAAAAAAAATGGATCCTTTTCAAATATATCAAAATATGACATAT